AGCAAAAGGGTCAGAAAAGAAAAAGAGGACCTAATGGATGTAGACAGGGACAGACTTCAAGAAATTGCCAGACAGGATGACTACAACCCAGTAATCCTTCCACCTTCATCCACCAAGGAAAATCCTCCACCAAAGAAAGTCCAAATCCAGGATCCAGAAAGCACTACCATACCAGCTAGCAAGGAAAAGGCCCCTAGAAAAACCTATGTGGAGAGACCTCTAACCAACCAATTTCCAGATGCAGAAGACAAAGTGGTCAGCAGGATGTTAATGGATGGTAAAATGGAACTTTCCTATGGGGAAATTTTTGCAATTTCTAATGGAACTGTTGAAGCCTTCAAGAAAAAGATTACCTCAAAAAGAATTCCAGTGGACTCTGTGAAAGTTTGAGGTCAAATACTTTATTGCAGCGTATAATCAAATGCTAATAGTAGTAGATAACTGAGAGAATGAAATGAACAAGAAAAAACAATAATGAGTTGAGTAAGAAACTGAGACAAGAAATGAATAAAGCAAGAGTACTTGATGAGGAAAAGGAGTGAAATCATTAAGTACCTTTTGATGTTCTTGTTCTGGCTACGACTCAATTGAAAGACACGAGAAAGTTTTATAGGAGATAAAAGGAAAATAACAAACAAGCCTGAAAGAAAAATAAAAAATCAATCAATTGAATAAAAGGAAGAAGAATGAGATAGAGAAAGGAATCGAGACAGTGATGGGACTTGGATATACCTCCACTTGAGTTATTACCGAGCTCCTCCTGAATTCCTTTGGTCTAGATGAGTGGTGAGGCGAAACAAGAATCGAACAGTTTGGGATTGATCGGCAGTGAATTGAGGGAGCTTAGGATTCGACAGATTGCAACAATGGTGGTTCCGGGTACGATGAAGATTTTCAACCTTGGGTCACAGGGGTTGAACTAGTAATTGACTTATGTTCTTGCATATGAGTATGCAATATCCTAGATGTCACCGGAAAGCCGCAACAGGTCAGGATCACTTGTTGACACTCCTCCTTGATTCTGCATCTGTTAGGTGAAGCTGTTCTCTTGAGCCTTCTAGCTTGATGAATCCCAACGGTTTAGTCAACCCATCTGCAATCATCTCGTGAGTTGAAACTTGTTGCATGATTACTTGCTTCTTGTCGACTAGTTGCAACACATATTGGAATCGCACCTCAATATGTTTGGTGTTATCATTGAGTTTTGCTTCCTTACTAATGATCACTGCACCAGAATTGTCGTTCTTCAATATTGGAGCCTTGATTTTGATATGAAGATTCAGGATTAGATTGGTTAACCATCGAAGTTGTTTGGCGCATCGATTGATCGCTACAAATTCAGCCTCGGTAGTCGATTGTGCAACAACGGGTTGCTTCTTCGTTGACCAACAAATCAGATTTCCGTACATTGTAATCACATAGCCAGAAGTGGAGTTCTTGGTGATAAGGGAGGCACCATAATCTGCATCCGCCCACCCACAAAGACCCTCATCGTGATCATGAGTTTGCGTATAGTGGATGCCCATCACCGGCGTGCCTCTAAGGTATCTCAAAAGGTGCTTCACCGCCGACCAATGCACCTCATTCGGATTGTTAGTAAACTGAGCAAGTAGGTTTGTAGCGAAGGTTATGTCCGGACGAGTGTGCAGTGCCAGGTAATTGAGCATTCCCACAGCTTTCTGGTACAGTTTTGGATGAAAAGGTGGAGCATCCGTTGCAACAATCTTATGCAAATTCATCGGCGCCGGCGCTCTGACTGGATTTGAATCGTGCATGTTGAAGTCATACAGTATCTTCTGGATAAAGTCTGCCTGATTGACATGAACGGTGCCATCCTCCTTCCATTCAAGCGTATAGCCGAGATGTTGAGTCGGTTTCTCCTTGACTTTGATGGTGTAGATCTTTTTGATGTCATCGAGGAGTGCCAAAACTGAGCTTCGATCTTTTCCCACTACAAATCCATCATCGACATGCATGTGCAAGAAAACTGACCGATCCTTGTTATAGAAGAGCGATTCGTCTAGAGGAGACGAGTCGAGACCTAGGGAAGTGAGGGTACCGACAAGATGTTTTCTCCATTGTCGTGGAGCCTGTTTAGTACCATACAAAGACTTGTTGAGCTTCCAGACCCAGTTCTCCTTCCCCGGTTCCTCGAAGCCTTCTACTTGAGCCACGTAAACCGGAGCGTCTATTTCGCCATACAGGAAAGCAGTTTCAACGTCGAATTGAAAGACATGCCAGGAACGATTTACCGCTACGGTCAACAGTAATTTAAATGACTCATTCCGAGCGACTGAGGCATAGGTGTCGAAGTAATGCAACATATGAACCTGGTGATTTCCAAAGCAGACCCATCTAGCTTTGAATCGAAGCAACTCGCCAAACTCATTCTTCTTTCGACCAAGGAGCCACATCCCCCCGATCACTTTGTTGTCACCCGGTGGAGGAACCAGGGTGCCAGTGTTCTTGGACGCCAGTGAGTGATATTCCTTGGCCATAGCTTCCTTCCAGCCGCGATGTTCGTCAAGACTAGCGAGAGCTTCCTTGATCAAGACTGTTTCGGTGAGGTAAACTGTATCCGGAACATCGAAATGTAGAAGTAATAACTCTTCCGGCGGGTCCGTTACAGCTGGCGCCACCATAGTCGGTGCCGGCGATTTGGCTCCTCCTTGTCGACGGGAACCAGAGATGATATTCCAAGCATCCACATCCCCTATAATTTCCTTGGCTGGGGGCTTGTTATCAGGAACCATCTCGAAACGATCCTTGAGTTTCTTTGAGAAGACCTTCTTCACGGGAATCGATGTTGGAGTTGCGTCAATCGGGGAAGGGATAGGAGGCGATGGCTGGCGGGATTGAACTGGAGAACGAGCCGGGGGTGAAGGATGACGAGGTTGAACATCAACACCACTGGATGGACGAGCCACAGACGTAGAGACGGGCAGGGTTGACGGGCTCAAAACGGGACTTGGAGGTAGGGATAAAATATCCGGAGTTGGACGAGTGAGTGATGGAGGAATCACGGAGCTAGAGGGTTTGATTTTATGAGACACCCTATCTGAGGAGGATTTAGAGTGTAGAGAAACCGCTCGAGGCAAGGTGTCTGGAGGTTTGGTGAGGGCGGAGGGGGAGTTATAGCGAAAGGCCAGCTGAGTTGGTGAATAGTCACGACTGATAACTACATGTCTTTTGGTCGAATCAAAAAACCGTAACGCATCGGAGTGGTCTTCGTAGCCAAGACAGATGAGAGGCTTTGAAGGTACAGAAACTTTCGAGGGCGGTTTGTGAGTTACATAGACTTTTAGTCCAAACGGGACTAGCTTGTTGATATCCCGAATTGGTTCAATACACATGTTCAACTCCGATAGCACCGTGACTGGATTGGACCAGTTTAAAGCCTTCGAAGGGAGAATATTGATCAGAGTCAATGCATAACGGGCGGCTTCGTCCCAGAAGTTAATCGGTACTGAGGATTGCGCCAAGAGACAGCGGATTTTCACGAGTAAGGTTTGATTGAAGCGCTCAGCTAGACCATTTGTTTGGGGACTGTTTGCCGGTCCGGCTTCAACACGGATACCTAATTTTTCCAGTTGAGAAAGAAAATAGGTTGAGTTGAATTCACCACCGCGATCGGTATGAATGAGAGCTGGGCACTTACCTGTCTTGTTTGTGATTTCTTTGACATAAGACAGGATTTTTGATTCGGAGTCCGACTTATTCTTCATGAGGTAGATTCGATTGAAGCGGGAGTAATCATCAATGATAACAAGAATGTATTTCATTGAGGATTTGCTGGGGGGGGATATTTGGAGTACATCCATGTGAAGAGTTTTGAATGGTCGGTCGGTTGTGGGAAGGGGATTCACATGAGGCGTTCGCTTCAGTTTGCATTGCTTGCATACTTCACAGTATTTAGCAAGCTGGCCGGCAGACTCGGGTTTGATGCCATGCAAATCAAAGAACTTCTTCAAGTATTCGTCTGAAGGATGGCCCAGGAGGATGTGATAGTCAAGGCGTGGATCCGGATCGGATACATTTAACGCGTAGTTGATAGAATTTGGTCTAGGGACTTGACCTTGATAGAGATTACCCACTCGAGGAAAACGGTAGATAACCTTCTGACCCAGTCGAACTAACATCAGCCTATTCTTTACTACCAGCCGAAGTCCGTGGTCTTCAAGTTGTGAAACTGAAATGAGATTTCTAGGACCGTTTGGAGCGTAGAACGCCGGATAGATCATAGTACCGTTCATGTTAAACTTCCCAACATGAGTAATGTCTATAGAGCCAGAGTAGGTGTTGATTGACTTGAGAATCGGCTGTGGATCGACGAGTAGTTTGAAATCACAAAGAGTGGTTTTTGAGGCACCCGAATCCAGTATCAACGAGTTTGGTTGAGGAGCGATGACTAGTCCATTTGCATTGACTTCATTGGTGATCATGAATCCGTCTAACTCAGGATAATCAACTTCATCGCCTTCGTCATCTTCTTCTGCCGCATCGGCATGATCAAATTCTTCAGTATCCGCAAGGTTGGCTTGATCGCTCATGAACTTCTTCATTTGAGCATTGAACATCTTAGCGAATTGATCGGAGACCGCATTGGGTTTGTTATTAGGAGCCGGTTGTGTCGGAGTGACGCCTCTAAAGCCTCCTCGATTAGATACACCTCCTCAATGATTACCGTGAGATGAGCCCGCTCCTCGAGTCGTTGAGGTAGATTGAAAACAATCCACAGATTGTTTACCTGCTCTTCGAGTTTGATTAGAGTAGTAGGCCGGCTCTGTGGTACCACTGGCTTTCCGAGAATCTTCAATAAGGAGTCGATCATAAATTTTGTCGAATGTGAACGGTTTTTTGTCGTATAAACTTTGAACCAACGATGATAAGCTGTCATCTTGATGTAAGCTTCGCAACAAGAGGGCCGCCGCGAGACCAGTCGTAATAGTCATGAAGTTCGGATTCGCTTGAATCGACATTTGCAATGCAGTATGGAGTTTTCAGAACGTCGTAAGATGTTGAACCAGCGATGATCCCGGCATGTAGGTGCAATTGATTATTGCGTTGAGTTTATCACAGAGACTGATGATGGACTTCTCGCCGCAAGCAGCACCTAAGGCGTGAATTGCACCATAGATATCGCCGTTGTGTGCACTAACGACCGGGTGTAACTCCTCCTTAACCGATGAGTACAAGCGATTCATGCACCAGGCTGACATTTGTCGAAATTCGGGTGTATCTTTGTTGGCTTTGACCCATTCGTCCTTCATGATGTCTTCATAGCCCTTGGCGGTGATGATGTTCTCGAACCGAGTCTTCCATTCGGCCCAGTTGTAACGATCGAGTTTTTTGAACGAAAACCGTGATGATTTTCCATCGTCTGAGCTGTCCGACGAGTTCCCCATGTTGACGAATTTCCTAAACTGTTGGTTATTCTAACTTTAGTCTTATAATGAATTATAGCCAAGTATTGACTCTCGCTACCATGTGAAAGTTTGAGGTCAAATACTTTATTGCAGCGTATAATCAAATGCTAATAGTAGTAGATAACTGAGAGAATGAAATGAACAAGAATAAACAATAATGAGTTGAGTAAGAAACTGAGACAAGAAATGAATAAAGCAAGAGTACTTGATGAGGAAAAGGAGTGAAATCATTAAGTACCTTTTGATGTTCTTGTTCTGGCTACGACTCAATTGAAAGACACGAGAAAGTTTTATAGGAGATAAAAGGAAAATAACAAACAAGCCTGAAAGAAAAATAAAAAATCAATCAATTGAATAAAAGGAAGAAGAATGAGATAGAGAAAGGAATCGAGACAGTGATGGGACTTGGATATACCTCCACTTGAGTTATTACCGAGCTCCTCCTGAATTCCTTTGGTCTAGATGAGTGGTGAGGCGAAACAAGAATCGAACAGTTTGGGATTGATCGGCAGTGAATTGAGGGAGCTTAGGATTCGACAGATTGCGACAATGGTGGTTCCGGGTACGATGAAGATTTTCAACCTTGGGTCACAGGGGTTGAACTAGTAATTGACTTATGTTCTTGCATATGAGTATGCAATATCCTAGATGTCACCGGAAAGCCGCAACAGGTCAGGATCACTTGTTTATCCATGGGAAGTCATTTCAAGCACTCTTGGATAATGGATCACAAGTCAACTTACTCCCCAGGGACCTTGCAGCAAGAATGGGCCTCATAATCACCCAAAGAGCCATGAATCTTAAAGGAATTGGTGGCCACAAGAATGAAATTTTAGGAGTAGCTGAAAATGTACCTGTAAAAGTGGGTCACATCACCAGAGGAATACATTTTTATGTTTCTGCAGGAGAAGTTCAACCTATTTTGGGAAAACCATGGCTCATAGATGTGTCAGCAACCATCAAATTTCACCAACATGGAGCAGAATCCTTGGCAATTCAGAAGTCAGGCAAAACTTACTTGGTACCCATACATAATCCATCCAATCAAAAGTGGGAGAAAGATTTTCCTGTCCACACAGCCACTACTTCAAGTCATTTTTTAGTGTCTGGCACCTCCCACAAGTGAAGTCTTGGGAGGTGCCTAATAAAAAGGAGGAGGATAAATTAGTATATGCTGCAAAATATAAATCAACTACAAAAAAAATAAAACCAGTTAATGAACCTATGCCTCAGAATCTCAACTCACCTTTATGCAATCCCCCTTTATCAAGAGACCCTTACAAAACCCCCTTAACCCCCTTCCCACCTGAATTTACCCCCACCTGAAAAATAACTGAAGAAAGATTGAAGGTTGTCAATTTTGGACCCCCTGGATGGCTTTGGCCAGAAGAACTGAAACTCCTGAAGCATGTCATCAAGCTCAGACAAGGAGGACTGGCCTTTTGTGAAGAAGAAAGAGGACTCCTGAAGCATACCTATGGAAAACCCTACATTATCCCAGTTATCAAGCATGACCCTTGGCAGCAAAGACCCATCCCAATACCTGCAGCCATCAAGAACCAATTCATAGAGTTAGTAAGGGAAAGACTCAAGACTGGCCTCTATGAACAATCCTGCTCAAGTTATTCCAGCCCAGTATTTTGTGTCAAAAAGCAAGATGGAAAGTTAAGAGTGGTCCATGACTTACAAAGGCTCAACAAAGTCACCATCAAAGACTCTGGACTTCCACCAAATCCTGAAGAACTCATTGAATCTTTCACTGGAAGGGCCTGCTATGGTCTGGGTGATATAATGGGAGGATATGATGAAAGAGAATTAGCCCTGGAATCTAGACCCCTCACCACCTTTGAAACCCCCCTTGGCAGATTTCAACTCACCAGATTACCCCAAGGAGCCACCAATTCTGTGGCAGTCTACCAAGCCCAAATGATGTGGATACTCCAGGATGAAATACCAAATAATGTGGGCATTTTTATTGATGATGGAGGGATTAAAGGCCCTGTGTCAGACTATAATCAAGAAACATTGGAAGAAAATTCAGGAATCAGAAGATTTATTTGGGAATATGCCATTACTCTGGAAAGGATCTTATTCAGAATAGAAGAAGCTGGACTCACCATCTCTGGAAAGAAATTTGCCTGTTGTGTACCTGCCTTGGACCTTGTAGGACATGTGGTATGCAAAGAAGGAAGAAAAATTGCCCAGAAACAACTCAACAAGGTGGAAAGCTGGCCACTCCCTGACAACCCCACAGATGTCAGAGGATTTCTTGGAGTCTGTGTTTATGTCAGAATGTTTATCCCTGGACTTTCAGAACTTGCTTCACCTCTCAGAAGGCTCACTTGGAAGGACTCAGAATGGAAATGGAACCAGGCTTGCCAGGATGCATTTGAAAAACTGAAGAAACTGGTGGGCTATGATATTACTCTAAAAAAATTGGACTATTCTGAAGAAGCAGGAGCAATAAAATTAGCTGTGGATTCAAGTCATATAGCAGCTGGAGCAGTACTCACACAAGAAGATGAAGGCCTGGACAGACCTGTCCTTTATGAATCAGTGGTATTTTCCCCAACAGAATCCAAATATTCCCAGTCCAAATTGGAACTTTGTGGAGTCACCAAGGTCCTCAAGAAACTGCAAACTCAATTATGGGGCCAACATTTTGAATTATTAGTAGATGCCAAAAGCTTAATAGAAATGATCAACTCACCCAGCCTTCCAAATGCTACCATGACCAGATGGGTAGCCTTTATCCAACTATTTTCTTTTACCATGAAGCATGTCCCTGGAAAAACTTTCACAATGCCAGATGGACTATCCAGAAGAACCCCTGACCCTGGAGAAATTGGAACAGATTTTGATGAAGAAGAAAAGTGGATCAAACCTCACCCTGGCTTTGGACTAAAAGAGGTCAACATGGCAAATTTGGGGGTGGAACCCACTCACAGCAACCAAATTGGAGTCTGGAAACACCTTCAATATTACTTGGAAACCCTCAACAGACCCCCTGAATGTTCAGACAAGGATTGGAGTATTATTAAACATAAGTCAGCAATGTTTTTTATGTCAGAAGGCCACTTAAAAAGAAGGAACAAACCTTTTCCCCAGGTTGTGGTAACCTCTCAAGACCTCCAGAAGACAGTCCTCAAGACCCTCCATGAAGAATTGGGCCACAGAGGCATGGATGAAACCTACAGAAGAGCAAAACTCAGATTTTGGTGGCCAAATATGAAGAGGGCTGTCAAGAAATGGGTTCAATCCTGTGTGGCCTGTCAGAAAAGAAGCTCAGCAAAACCCTTGGAACTCAAGAGGGCTACTGGAATCCCTATAATCTTTGGAAGAGTAAGCTTGGACACCATTCACATCAAAGCAGGAAGGTGGAAATACCTTGTTGTGGCCAGGGATGATCTCTCAGGATGGGTGGAAGCTGTAGGCCTGGAGCAAATCAAAGCCAAGAAAATCTCAGAATGGTTTATGGAAAATTGGATCCACAGATATGGAGTCCCCTTAACAGTTGTTGTTGATGGTGGTCCAGAATTTGGCCAAGAACTCCAAAAATCCCTCACTGAAGCAGGTGCCAAGGTCAAAGTCACTACACCCTACTACCCAGAAGCAAATGGAATGGTGGAAAGAGGACATCAGCCCCTGAAGGATACTTTGGTCAAACTCTGTGAAACAGATGGAAAAAAATGGAGGAATTACTTACCACTAGTACTCTTTGCAGACAGAATTTCCACCAAAAGAACCACTGGATATTCCCCTTATGAATTAATTTTTGGACAACCTGCCATCTTGCCTGTGGACTTAGAGCTGGAAACTTACCTGGGAACAGATTGGACCAAAATTAAATCAACAACAGAATTATTGTCAGCAAGAGTCCTCCAGTTGGAAAGAAGAGAAGAAGTCCTACAAGATGCTTACAAGAAGATGAAGGAGGCCAGATCCCAATCCTTGGAGCCAATGAACCAGAAAAAATCCCTCAGAAACCCTCTCAATCCTGGCCAGTTGGTGTTAGTTTATAATAAGAGTCTGGACTCCCAATGGGGCAAACTGTTTGAAAACAGGTGGAATGGCCCTTGTAAAATTACCAAGCAAGAAAAAGGAGGCTCCTATGCACTAGAAGAACTGGATGGCACTGAACTAAAAAGAAGATATGCTACTTCTCAGGTCAAACCTTTTTTTTCCAGGGAATAAGTTTTCTTTTTTTGTTTCTGTATTTCTAAAAATTATTTCATCAAAAACAAACAAAAGAAAAAGAAAAAAATTTCCTGAAAAAGTCTTGAAAAATACATGAAAAATCCTCAAAAAATCCCTAAAAACACCCATTAAAAAAAAAAAAAAAAACAAGAGTCAGAATCAAGTTTTCAACTTTTTTTATACCAGAAGGACTTTTTTTTTACTTACTTATTCAATAACTGTCATTTGCACTTGGTCCACGGTTTCAAGTACACGGTCCAGCTCCTCCATAACACTCTCGTACAACCAACATCACGCCAAACGCCTATACCCGCCACTGCATCAAGGGTGATTGAGGACGTCGCCGTCCAGTAATGCGAAATAAGAGCAAAAAAAAATCCTTGATGTGTCGACGCGCATTTAGGACAGCGTCTTCTTGAACAACCTCGGCCCAGATCGGACCGCGCTCCTCCAGCGTTAACTCGTGATCAGGATCAGGGTGAGGCGGGTAGACGTAGCACGGTTCAGCCGGAGGGGGTGTATCAACTCGTATGGGAGAGAAAGCCGTGCCGCTTCCTAGGGATTCAGAAGAGATGGGAGGCGACGGCGATCGAGCATGTCTCTCCTGAGAGTTGAAAGGAAATTGGCCGTCGGAGTTCACCCGAAAGGCCGCGGCGATGGCAAACAACCGAATGTCGGAAAATGAGGGAGGAGGAGGACGAGGTGCCGGAACGTTGTGGTAAGACCAATCAAACCCATAAAACCTTAAAAGACATATTTAAAAGACTAAAATAGTAAATATAAACCCAAGAAATCAGGTAATAAAATCAAATAGTCATGATAAAGCCTTTTTTTCTCAAATCATAGTTAATTATCTTGATATTTTATTTTATATATATTGATACTACACAGACTAAAGGTATAAAACATACAAGGAAGAATAAAAGGTATAAATATAACTACAAAACAGATCATACAACATAACAAGATTGGTCAACAAGGAATTAGAAATAATATAATGTTATAGAGCTAAAAACCATTCAGGAGGGAACAGAATAACATAATAATCAATCATAAAATCATCCAGAAAGATCATATTAATTAATTAAGTAGATCATTATTAGAGATGTCACTTGGCACCTGTTAGCAGGTACCTGCCACACTTTCAGAAGGTGCCCTGGACACCTCCCTCCACCCGCTGTGAAGGTGGAGGGTCAAGAACTGCTTCTTTGACAGTAATACACCCTTCACATGCACAGCTGGTGGATGGAAGTGTCAAGGGCACCTTCTGAAAGTGTGGCAGGTACCTGCTGACAGGTGCCAAGTGACATCTCTAATCATTATTAATTAATTACACAGCCATTTAATTAATTACACAGCCATTTTATTAAATACACAGCCACTCATCATTAATTTCACAACATGAAGATCATTAATCACACAGATGAAATCATTGACCAACATAGCAGCAGAATATTGATTTCACAACAGTACATCATTAATTCCACAGCTGCACATCATTAATTTCACAGCTGTAAATCATTAATTTCATAGCATGACATCATCATGACATCATTAAATTAGCGGTATGAGGTCATTACCCAGTCAGACCAAGCATTCTCATCAGTGAAGCTGTTTACCATCCCCACCAAAGATTTTGTCTATAAATAGAGGCTCTCCTGGCCCTTGTTTTCCTTCCTTCCTCCTCATGCTAGCTACAGAATAGTAATTAGAGATATTACTTAGCTTTCATCAACCCTTATATTTCAGATACAGAATTGTAATAAAAGAATTTACTAAACCCTTACTCCTCACCCTTATATTGAACCCTGTTAAATAATAAGGAAATTATTTAACTCACCTCCAGCTCTCAACAAAAGATATTGAAGAAATAAAGACTCACTTTATTAAAGACCCAGAATTGAACCAGAGAATCCAGAAAGAATAGATTAAACCAGAATAAACCAGAAACCCTCAAATATCTCCTAACTCCAGAAGCTCTTGACCATCCATTCCATCCACCCTTATAAACAACTCAACATCCTCAACAGGTAGTATCTTCACTAAGATAAAATTCTAGAAATCTACCACACTATTATTTTTCTTAGTGTAACTCTCTCACAAGCTAGACAAGGAGGGAAGTCTCACCCACACCCATTTATTATTATTACTATTTTATAGTTTTATTAATATTTATCCCCTCCAAGCTCTTCACTCATTAGCTTGAGCAGTTCCACAACGTGGTCCTCGACTCTTCTACGGGTATCTACAGGGGAATCAGGCGCAGGACTTTCGGCTTCTTCAACCTTGATTGCAGGGTTGGATTCAAGAGGAGCGGTAGTTTCCTCGTCAGGCATGGTAGAATCGTCAGAAGCTAAAGAATAAGGAGATAGGGGTTGGCCGACTAAGCGCTCGGGGATCTCAAAGTAGGAAGACATGGGCGAACGATAAGTTGTCGACGGATCCCAACCCAAGCAGAAGGACGCCTTTTATAAGCACGAACCCAACATTCGTGATATCAGGTGCCGGCAAAGCAAGTCAGCCGAACCAGAGGAAACGGTACGTTACTAGCAAGCCGCCGGCGCTGCCGGGGCTGAAACTGAAGATACATACCGGTAGTCGAGATACGATCTGGTATCTACGGACTACAAAAAGGGAGGTACCGACAAGAGGCGCTAATCTCCGAGTGAGACAAACGCCAGTAGCAGATAACCAAGAGACAAAAAGCCCCGCTATACATAGCGTCGCCAGAAGCCGAGACGGCATCAAGAGAACCGTTGCCCGCCGTCGTAGTAGGATAAGAAGAGGAAGGATGCTGGGCTATGGTCCCTACACATCGCCGACATGAGATCCCCCGTAGTCGTTTACGAAGACAACGCTAGTTATTGTACTCAATATTGGGCAGAACGGCCAACGCGACTGGTCAGCGTCGCCAACCTCATGATGGGAACCTCCGAAGAGGATGTACGGACCGCTTTTCGAGAGTTCGATAGCATACAACACTGCTTCGTCCTGCTGTCGGCGCCAACCACGGCAATCATAGTATACTCGACTCAATCCGAAGCCATCGCCAGCGTAAACGGCATGAATGGCGCTATTGCCGACGAAAGAAAGCTCTGAGTATGGGGGACAACCACTGCTTCGCTAGGAGGACTTGCATTACTATTGAGAATCTCTTAAAAACACCTACTATCCGACACCCTTTACTTACCTTCTCAGACCCTCTGGACCTCTAATTTGGGGGTGGTTAGACCCCATTTTAGTCATTCTGCTCCTTAGTTTTGTGGCTAAATCACCTAATTTTTATCATTCCCTGGGCTACATGAAGAAATAAGATATCAGAACCTCTCATAATGAATTGATGAATCAAAATAAAATAAATAAAAATAAAAATCATTCCATAAGATAAAAGTACAAAAACAATTCCTCTACATATAAAAACCATAGATTTTTTTGTTGTTTCTTTTTTCCTTTTGGCACTATTTCAAATTATGGACTTCCACATTTATGACCAGTTTCTTTTCCTTCAGAATATATTTTTTTAGAATTTATCAGGATTGTCTTTTTCTCTTTTTTTCTTTTTTTGGATGATGGGGACATCATCTAATTTGGGGGTGGATGTGGTAAGCCACTCCTGAAAATTCAAAGTTATCAAGAGCACAAATCACAGAAGAATCACACAATCAAGACACCCCAGAAAGCTCCCCAGACCCCCAAAACCAATCATGAATCCCCTCAGGCACAATTCACATGGATAATATAATTTCCCCCTCCATCCCAACAGAAACTCCACACCCTGAAACTCATCCCCCTCCAAACATATTCCATTCTTCTTTCTCCTTGTGTCTCACACTAGTAACAATCCCCTTGCCCATGAAACTGTTATCTCCTCCTATTTTCTTCCATGGAATATTCTGCCCCTTATTTGTTTCACACTATAACCTTGGGAGCATTTTCCCACTGCTTGTTTCCCCTGTTTTCTCTGGATAAATATTTTCCCTTGTTTCATGCTCTCATAGAATGTTCCATTTATCTTCCAACCACAAGCTGGCCACTCCCCAGAATTTTGTATATAAGGAGCTTTGTTTTTCCTCTTAATTTGTTCCTCATCAGATCCTGCCCCAGCAATCCAGATAACTGATCACCCATTATTAGCCAGGTATTTGCCCATCAACATTTGGGATACCTTGATTTGTGAACAAGTATATTTAGACTAGTAAACATAAGACATATTAGACATACCATCCTCAAGAAATCTCCAAAGCCACACCTTTCCTTAAGAGTCCATACTCTTATATTTTCTTGTTATCAGAGAGGCAGCCCAATAAAGAACTCATCCCTCTCAAGCTCTATTCATCCCAAGAGTAGTTCCACACCGGCCGCATCCCTTTTTTGAATGAAATAGTCATCCTCCTGTGAAACAGCCTTGACAATTTAAAGATAAAGTGGTCGATGCATCCTGAAGCGTCAACGAAATAAATAGTCTGGGTAGGTTGGGTTTTTGGAAAAATAGTCGTTGTAGAGCATGAGATTGCCTTGAAGACGGTTGCGATATATTTCTCGGCGCCCCATCGTTGATCCACCACGCTTCGGTTTTGCGTTCATTCTTCTGATAACTAGTGCAATTGAGGTTGAGAGGGAAGCTAGTATTTTGTCGTTGTCCTCAATCAAATCCATGATCTTGATGGGATCCATTGCGATTTACCAGGGTCGGCAAATACAAGGGTTGGAGAATACAAGGGTCTGCGAATATGAGGGTCGGCGAATACAAGGGTCGTGTCAGACACTGAGACACTAGTCCATGTGTCTACATGAGATTTTAACCCCTCCAGTTTACATAACAAGTATTATTATATGTAATCTTTAAGTTAATAATTATAAAATAGTGTTATCCCTTTTTACATGTATTTTTTATGTTAATAATTATTCTGTAAATTAATAAAGATTCACCTCTTTATTAATTTACCTCTTTCATGAAAATTATAATCAAGTTGAAAAGGATAATCATCTCCTGGGTGTATCCAAGAGATGATTATCCTATTTACCTCTCTTGTGTGTATGATTATTATGTTTATCTCTCTTATGGTATTTTCTGAAATAAAAGATATTCAGCACATGTACATTTATCATGCTCTGAATATCCTGACACTTTCCCCCAAGGAAAAGTGTAACAATAAGGGGACTGCACCGGTCCCAGCAGCAGATTGACCCCTGCTCTGTAATATTTAAGAGGATGGCTCTTCCCCTGAGATTCATCCCCCAGACAATTATTACCATACAAACCCAAGTACCTTACTATAATACATATAAATAGTGAGTGGGGTTTTAAGTAGTTTATTGTTAGTTTAACTAGTTTACTTTCCTCTTATTATTATCACTAGTCTATATAAGTTAAGTCTTTAACTTTATAGACTAGTAACAACCCTTTTCTCTTATATTCTCAAAAGCTCAGGCACTGTGAAGCTCATCCCACAGTTGTCCCTTATTCTTATAAGGAGCTAGCCCCTCCACTTTACAAGTGTTGAGTTGGGCTTATTTCCACTGGCCACTCTTTGGCTATAGTGTGACCCAATACCCCATCAACTCTTGGTCACATAAGAGACCAGAGCTGACAGGTCGAGTGTCGAAATGAAAGGAATTTTGGATCTGTTTGCTGGGTGTTCGACGCGGTGTGTACAGAAGTTTCAATTCCAGGTTCAATCCACCCCTGCCCACATCCACAGTCCATATTTTGGACTGTTGTGACATGTGGGTGACATCTTGGGACATCTACTCCCGGGCTGCTGAAGTCGAGCCAATCCACCCCCAGACCGTTAGAGATGCTTAGAGCATCTCCAGCAGAGCCTCAGCCGGGGTTGATTTCTGTCCCAATAGCAGCCTGCAACCACATTTCACACCCCTGTCTCAGCTTCAGGGGGTGGTTGGCCAAGTTGCTAAGAGCATCTCCAATGGTCCTGCTGATGGGGACCTGGGACCGACTTCAGCGGGCCGCGAGGCTCTTTTGGCCGCTAGTGGATCTGCCAAGCAAGCCGCTGAACATTGCGGGGGTGGACCAAAGCTGCCCTCGGCTGCTGAGTTTGGCAACTTTGGCAGCGTTTCACCCACCCCCGCTCAACTTCACAGTCTGCATTTAGCACAACTGTGACAGACTGGTGACACCTCGGGACATCTGGCTCCAGGCCGCCGAAGGCAAGCCAATCCACCCCCAGACCGTTAGAGATGCTCTAAGCTCTGGTAGATGACTAGACACGTCTGCCAGTGCATTGTCATGACAAATCCTATAGATCAAATCAAAGTTATAGACGGAGACAATTGGTGTTGTGCTGGTGTGTGGAAAACACAGTGAGGAGCGGCCACACTGGGCCAGCTATGCTAACTATAGCGTTAGTCTAGCGTAGTGTAGCAAAAATCTCCTTTTCCTAAAACTGCTTTCACTCTTCTTCCCATCAAGTCAGATTCTTCTTCCCATTGCACAAATCATCCCCAACTCTCATCAACATTCCCATTCACTTTACCCTTCAAATCATTTGTTTTCTCTCTGTTATCTTCTCTCTCACATCTTGCTCTCATTCACTCACATTGACACCAAATTCAACTTATCTTATCTTCAAATTCAAACCATCCATTATTCTTCTTTGCACCAACCTTGTCTCTAGATCTGCTCACTTGGCTTTTGCCAATTGGGTGAAAAACTGATCAATTTTCTTCTCCTCTTATCCATTTTTATATTGAATTTTCTGCCTCAATGTTCTTTTCTATTATATTCTGATCTAGATTTTACTGTTTCTCCCTGTCTGATCTTATCTACTTCAGTCAACTTTCTCCTCTGTCTAATTAAAAAAGATAACTCTTTTTGTGGTAGGTTAAACTTCTCTTTATCATTGTAATTTTTTATCTCCTCATTTTCTCATGTTTAACTTTATTTTTTTTTATTGTAGTTCTGGTTCTAGTTTCAGTAATCAAGGCTGTTTTTTGTCAGTATTTCAGCATGATGATTTGGGTTTATCAAGACCTTTTGCCCCAATTGTACTCTTCTTTGGGACAAAGAAGATATGCAAAGATTGTTTGTTTTTGTGTTTCTATTCCATGAGGGTTTGTAGTTTTTTTCAAGAGTAGGAGCTGAGTAAAGCTGCAGATTTACTAGTAGCAATGCACAAGTAATTTAAATGAAATTGTGTTGTAAATTATCTTCTGAACGGGAAGTTCGGGAACCTAACCAAAAGCAGCGATGGGCAGATACGTTACCCAAACGGATAACATTGACTGTAACGTAACCTTTACAGTTACGTTAACCACAAGTTACAGATATCTTTATTTCAGTTACGATATCTACTGGAGCAAAAGGCCCCTTTTTTTTCTAGTTACGTTCCCAGAAATTCTGTACAAAACAGGGTTATGTTACAGAATTTCCAATATTTGGATAACTTAAGGGTAACTTTGCTGGTGATACACTGATTCTTGATGGTTTTGTTCATTAAGTGCGAGATAATTTGCCCAATATGATCATAAACCAACCAGCGGTTATCATTTCACCAGTAAGCCAGGTCAAAAGATGTCTGGTGTGAGGATTGAACCCACAACCTCCACATATTCACTGTACATGGGAGGCACTCTTTGACCGTTAAGCTATACACAATATGTTTTAGCCCTTCAACCTCTCATAACACCCCTCCCCCCAAGTAAGTTATGTTACCCCAAAAAAATATATGGAAAAAATAAAATTGGTTACGTTACTTTACTTTACAAGCAAATTTAGTTACTTTACAAAAACAGCATATTTGGATAACTAAAAAAAAGTTACGTTCTCCAAATCCCCTGCTGTAACGTACCGTAACGTATCTGCCCACCGCTGCCAAAAGTGACAACAATTTTTTCCCAGATGCACATCCATTTTCTGGAAAATAGAAGTACATTGGAAGGAACAAAAAGAGAGAATTTCCAGCAGGAGCTTGGGTTGCTTGACTGGTTATCAGGAGTTGTATGCTGGGCACCCAAATTATTTGGGTGAACCTGATTGATTTATAAAGCAGGGTGTATTGCTTTCATAGATTTTATTGTTCACCAGTTGGACAATCTCCAGTTGTATGACCAACAGCTCCTTGACATTTTGAACACCATGGGTCGGCCTCAAGTACTACCTCTATGGGTACTTCTAGAGTGGGTACTGGAATTTCAAGTAGGATGACAGAACATGAGTGAAGAGGTACTGCTGCTGCCAAGAGAATGATGCACTTCATTGAGTTTTCAGGAGGTGTATGGTTTTAGAGATGGAGGTGACTGAGGCTTGAACACAGGGGTTTAACAATGACACAGTGTAAAGTGATGTTCCTTGCTGATACAGTTATATTGGCAGTAGGGGCTGCTGCTGGGTTGGTGAGTTAAATAGCCAGCTGCCCAGGTGACCCAACATAAATACATTAGGATCCATAAAACGTTTTGAGATTTCCCTTGATCATTAACAACCTTCTTTGTGGTTATACCAACTCCAAACCTCAAGTATACAGGAGTCAAATCCATTTTTCTCTTCTCAACTTCACCCCACATTATTTGAAACCAGGCTGTGAGTTTTTTTTTTTTTTTTTTGGATCATGGTGTGCACATTCATGTTGTCAGCTCATGTTCAAGTTGGAGAATCATAAAAAGTGAGGTTGGATTGTGAGATATGTATGTCATTTGACGTCGGTGGATCGGGCCCCCGAAGTTTGTCGGGGCTCTAAAGCCGAAATATGTACCCGGCGGGGGAAACAACCAGGTCAGAAATTTCCGAACGAAAAAAGCAACCAACACACACACATTAATAGTAGTGAAGACACTGACAGCAACATAATAAGGACTAGCAAGGATGACTCGACTGATCTGGAGCGGATTCAAGACTGGTTTGGGATCAATCAAGAGTAAGTCTCTTTGATCGAACCCTGCAAAATAAAAACTGATCGATATGCTTCTTTGACTCAGACTCAAATCAAACAACACAGCTATTAATAACCTCCCGGCTTGGATCGCTAGGATCGACGGGCAACAAGGATCATGTTGGACGAGTAGGAAAGACGGAGTGCTTCTCGACGACGGGGGCAGTGATGATCAAGACGAAGAAGCAGAAGAAGGAGATCGAACGGCAGCGGCTGAAAGCAGCGGAGGCCAAGGCGACGCTCCGAACGAGTCTCAAGCTGAGGCAGAAGCCCGACCCGATCCTGGGCTACTCGACCCAGATCCCAAAAGCACACTTGAATTGGGAGAACTGCGAGCTCAACAAGCTGATTGTCAAGAAGGAGGATGTCTGGGCGGGAAAGATCGGACCGGTCGAGCTGGACGATCCTCTTCAACCTAAAACACCCATCGATCGGAATAATCAACAAGACAAAGAAGGTGGTGCATCCCTGGTCTTGAACTTTGGATTGAACGAGAACGAGCATCAAAAAGCTATCCTCTTCGACGGCTTGCCCAAGATGAAGGAACTCATCAAGATCAAAAACAAGCCCATCTTCGACCCTTCCCTGACCGAGCCCTTACCCTCCGACTCCGACTCGATCATGAACGAACAGGACGAGGAAGATCTCAAGAAACTCAGACTGATGAGGATCTTGGATCTACGAAACTCGAACTCGAAGGGGATCGATAAGTTCATCAAGCTCAGGATCCTCAAGGCCTTCTCTCCTAAAGACCATCTTCACCCCGAAAAACTCGACCCTGGTTGCTCGGAAGTTCAAGGTGAGTGAACAACAACCTCAGACAGAACCATAAAGTTGACAAGGAGACTCTAAACTGATCGATGATCATTTTTAGCTGCTATGATCACCTACAGGATCCATGCGGTCTTGGACCATGCTTGGCAAAACAGAAGAGATAAAGACTCCAAGAGACATCTCTCCGACCTGGTCATGAAGCGCATGAAGATCTTGAAATATCTTAAACGAACTAACCCCAAGAGCTACTTCGAACTACTGCCCAGGATTGGCCTCGAACCTAGGTATCTCAAGGATGAACTCATCGTTCGCGCTAAACTTCCCCTGCGTCCGGGAGAATCCCTAGATTAACCTCATCTATCCATCTGTCCTGCTTTCTCTTACCTAAATTACTTCCAATTGCCGTTCTCAGTTTTTATTCTCTTTGCTTTATTTTCATTTCCTTTTTTTTTTTTTTTTCGAGTTGAAAAATATATATACATATTCAAATCCGTCACTATAATCCTAGTGTTGACCCACACAAGACACTTGTTTTTGATAAACGCTTACAAACATAAGAAGAAATCAAGAGGGAAGAGAGAGAACACAGGAGAAAGCAAAAAAAGGAAGAAAAAACATGGGGACTATAAACCAGTGAAAATCAAAGATGTTGTTAGGGAACATGGTATCAAAGCAAATCAAGTTTTTCTAACTTTCTCTCAAGTTATCAATCACCCGATGCACAACCACGACATCCTATAACAAAATTCAACGGAAGCATAAGTAACTGATATCTATGTTTTGAAAAAAAAACTGCTCAGAAAAGGAGAGAGGGAAGCGGAGAACCAACCACAATGGACACATTCGACGACCGTACCAGGCTTCAGTTGAGCTTTAGGGACCCGACAGATACACACTGATCCAGCATAGTTCATGTCCTTTTTTTGTCAAAACAATACAAAAAATGTTAGGATCCCTCATTCTACAGAATGGATATGGATGGGGGAGAAGTGGGCGAACTCTGGATTGGACGCATCGGGCACAACATAGGCCTTCGAACCCGGTCCGTTTCCATTTAGCGATCAAGCTGGACAAACACGTCAAATTACGTCCAAGATAAACGAAGCCCACCACTGTTAGTTATAGTAGGTAGCCAGGAAAGAAGGAAGAGGTGATGAGGGGATGCTTAACTTGGCATCCGCATAATCTTGCTCGAGCAGCCACTCATACAAATCTCTCGAGATCGCCTCCCGCTTGTAATACAGATCGTAGATGTACCGAGAACGGGTGTGGTTGATCCGGATGATCGGCCAGACCGATTCGTTCTTCCTCTTCCCTTCATGTGTCGCTGATTCGGCTGTCCGATCATCATTGTTCCAAGTTTCACTATCAGCTTTTCTTTTTTTTCTGGGGGGCCGAAGTAAAATGTATGTGTTGTAGGACTAGAGATAGCGCTTACCGTCTCGCATCTTTCGTTCGTATTCATCTAAGACTCCTTCGATCTCTTCGAAACCTTCTGGGGGCGGTTTAGTCCGATTAGTCCTGATCTTTGGCATTCTCCTATATATATATTCGTAAACCTCGATCGCGCGTCCGTTGTGTATTTACGTGTCTGAATCGTTATTTGGTCTTCTTTTTTCTGGCCTGTGTCCAGCGACGAAATTGAATGCAGTCCTGGCTATGGGATCACTTGACCTTCGACTCCAAAGTGGAGACCCCCGACCCTCACCCGGGGTGACACCAACTGACGCATACATCCACCGATTTTGCATACTATTAAAATTTACGTAATCATCTTCTTCCAAATTTGTTGCCACCTGTGGCCCGAACTTAGAGCATCCACCCTCGTCTCTGTAAACCCGCTCGGTAAGCGAGATTTACAGAGAATTTAAGAATATTCATCCCCTCGTTGCCTCTTTAGAGCATCCGCATCAGTCGTTAACTTAGCGCGGATTAAGGCACTTAGTCCAGCCTCGCAACCGCACCGGTCCAGATTAAGACAGGATCAACTTGACTCAGCTCTCCATTTGGAGCTAGTGGGGTCTAAATCTAGACCTCACTAATCCTGGGAATAAGTCCTGCATGCATATTCAAAAGGCATGAACACATACAAATTAGCTCCGATCAAGTCGGATAAACTGACCTCAAATACATAACACATAGATTTAAACCACCTCAGCCACCACCGATGCGGCTGGAGGCCGAGATCACCTTAATCTTGTCCTAATCCGAGCTCGCTAATCCAGTGTAACTTGACCACTGATGCAGATGCTCTTAGGGCTCGTTAACAAACTAGTCTTTAAAATATTCTCTCCAGCTTGCTAGATTTACCAACGACTACAGAGCCTCTGTAAGGCCACTCTTACCGAGCCTACCAAACCGCAAGCACAACCATCACCACCACCAATGGCCACTCCCTCCTCCACCCCAGTAGACACACCAGACGAAAACCCCGATACTACAACAAAAAAGAAGAGAGGACCAAACTGGCTCCCCCGAGAGGAAGAGCAGCTTGCCATCTCTTGGATCAATGTCAGCGAACAACCAGAATTCGCTACAAACCAAACGGGGGAGACATTCTATCGGCAAATTGAGCAGGACTTCAACACCCACTCCAAGGCGCACTATCGTGATCGGGCTCAAATTAAAACTCGGTGAGCATCTCTGCTCACAATGATCTAATATTCTTTTGCTGATTTGTCCCCGCTGCCAGATGGACCGCGATGAACACAGCTACCCTCAAGTTCTCTGCAATCTACAACGCGATCGAACGAAACCCTCCCAGCGGGTCTAGCCCTGAAGATTGGCTTGAAGCAGCCAAAACAAACTACCAAGAACAGACCAAAGGGACTGCCTTCAATGCCCTCTCCGCATGGCAGAAGCTCCGCTATGCCCCAAAATGGCGAGCCGATCCGCGAGTGATTCAACCATCAACACCAGCCCCGTTGGACCCACAAACTGATCCCACTGGATCTCCGACGGAAACACTGATTACTGGTGTATGTACCCCAAGCAGTCGTTCGGCATCTTCGATATTGCGTCCGATCGGTGGCAAGGCAGCCAAGAGGCGTCGGATCGAGGGATATAGAGATGATGAGATGATGTCGCAAGCAAACGAGTTTGTTAGCATCTCTCAAGATTGCCTGCTCTCCCTTAACCAAGCAAACGACATTCTCAAGGCAAAGAACGAGATACTCAGGGAGAAAATGAAGATCGAGGAGAAGAAGCTTGAATTGGAAGAAAAAAAGGTTTTGATTGAGGAGGAGCATCGCCGAAGCGAGACCCAGATGAATGACTACAAGCTGCTGCGTGAAAACGAGGAAATGGAAGACGACGAAACTAAGGAGGTCCTTCGCATTATGAAGGATGAAATCAAGAAGAAATGGCGTGCTAGAGCCTAGAGGATAGTTCAATGATAGTCTATATGTCTCGCTTGCAGCCTCCTCTTGTCTTTACTGATGTGTCTACACTCTACAACCACCAATCGATTTGTCTAAGCGTGAACGCAACACTCATTATTTGCTCGCAAAAGGGTTTATCTTGCCCATTTGATTAAGTTGTATTGATCCATTGATTACACATGAATGAATGGATAGCATACAATAAGCAATTCTCTACAGAAGATCAGAATGGAAATGAGTGGAAGAGGAGGAAAATGTGAAAGGTGGGATCATCAAACAATCTCATCACCACGGAGTAGCCAATTGTAGATCTTGAGGTCCTCACGCAACTGAGCATGGGCCTCAGGGTTGTGTAGATCAAAGTTATTCTGAAGGTATTCGGCCCAGGTATGGGCCAAGAGAGGGTCCCGATGATTTGGGAGAATCTCAGCTGAGGGGGCCGTGAGAAAAGGGTCGACCAAAGATCGTTCCTCCACAATCATGTTGTGGAGGATGATGCAGCAGTTCATCACCTCCATGACATCGTCCTTCTCCCACAATTGACATCCGCGAGTTAGACAGGCCCAGCAAGCCTGGAGAACCCCAAAGGTTCGCTCAATGTCCTTTCGGGCCGACTCCTGCAGTTTTGCAATGTGCCTTGAGGCGCCGTCTTGAGGGTGCTTGATTGTTGAGACTAGAGTCGACCAAGGTGGATAAATAGAATCACATAAATAGTAACCGGTCTTGTAAACATGACCATTGATAGTGTAATCGATTGTGTCAGATGCACCGGCTAGCAGTTTGTCAAAGAGGTGGCTTCGATGAAGTACATTGATATCGTTGAGTGCCGAAAAATGTGTGCCAGATGCGCAGGTTTTTGCTTGCAACAGCTTCAAGGACGATGGTCAGCTTTTTCTCCTTCCCTTTGTACTGCCCTGCCCATCCCGATGGGCAGTTTTCCAAGCCCAATGCATCCCATCAATACTCCCGATACAACCTGGAAAGCCTCGGGCTTCGTTTTCACTCAGGATTGCCGTCAATTCGTCGCGGTTCGGTGGGCGTAGGTATTCCGGGCCGTACAGCTCAATGATGTTCCGGATAAAATACTTGAGGGTCCGGAGGGCTGTGGTTTCACCAATGCGAATGTACTCGTCCAGGGAATCGGCGCTGGTTCCATAGGCCAATTGGCGGATTGCTGCTGTTAGCTTTTGATGGGTTGATAGGCCAATCTGACCACAGCAGTCCTGGAAGAAACAGGCCAACAGTCAGTAGACAGGTGCGATCGAGAGCGACTTCAATTACTCACTGCTTTGAGAATCCAAAAACAATCGTGCTGCTGAAGATCACGGCATAAGCGATTGAACAACGCCTTGCTCATCCGGAAGCGGCGCTCAAACATCCGGTTGTTATAAATTGGGTGTTCGACAAAGTAGTCTTTCATCAGCCGTTCATTGCCTGCGATTCGATCCCGTAGGATGACTTCCTTCTCGGTGGTGCGAATGGTTCTGGGTACGGGTACGCCTTGAGATAGTTCTTGCATGAGGCGACGAAACCAGTGTTCTTCCTCGATGTCCCAGAGGTAGTCCATGTGTGGATCCATAGTGAGTACCCAGCGGCGGTGAGTGAGTTTTACCAAGGGGTGCCGTTAGACCCGAGGGTAGATCAGCCGTCGGTAGCTAAATCGGTACAGCCTACCGAGCGGATACCGAGCAACGAGGGGCACTTTTCTCATTAGCTAAGCAACCGAGCCGAGCGGGACTCGCGGGCTACCTAAATATTTACCCAAACGAGGGTGGATGCTCTTAATCAGTCCCACCTTCTAAGAGGCGGGGCAGGGCCCCTTGCGCGAAGCGCAAGCCTCCGAAGGAGGGACTTGGGAATTATCAGCCAATTTTGGCTTGGATCCTGAACTGCACTTTGCCAGTTTTGGCAGGAGCCAAACTTCAACACCACCTTACATCAGCATCCTGTGGGCCAAATGGCCGGCCCTTTGGCCAGATTGAAGCTTGGCATCTGGCCTTAAAGATGACATAGCCCTTATGTTGACTGGATTTTTTTTCAGTCATCTGCAGGGGATGTACCTTCAGGGTCTCCTCCATTTTGGAAATTGCAATACATCTGTACAATTGGGCCAAATGCATGGGTCCCTCATTAAGTGCATGAAAAGATCGGTTTTCAATCCCAAGTGCATATACACCAACATTCAAGACATGTAACCTTCCAAACCATCTTGTATGGGAATTGCATATCACACAACATAACCAAGCACCAAAAGAGAGATCACAAACGGTATCACTCACCGACACCTTTTATAATCTCCCCTCCAAACCTAAGTAGATTTACCAGAGGAGTCAACTGTCACTGACTGAAGCATTTTACCGGATCCCATTGATCCTCCAATTATACTCAAAATGTCAGATCAAGAAAAGATACTTGATGTTTGCGCGCACTTGACAAGGATCAAGATGACACCAAAGGAATTCATCACGGGTCTGCTCAAGAAAGACCACATAGAACTCAACTACCGCCGACGCACCTGGGGAACAACTTACGGTGCCAGTTCAACTATTGAGCTAGTTTCTGAAATTGCAAAAATATTCCACAAGAAAGATGCAGCTCGGCATTTTTGGGCCAACTTTATTCAGGCTGAGGTCAAACTCGTTCACTATCAGGATGTTAGTTAAGAATGTACCACTGATCCATATTTGTGTTGATTGCAGGTTGTCTTGTTGTGTCGTCAAGAAATGGAAAGTCATAGCTCTGGCTCATTCATGAGCTCCCGATTGGTCAGACGTGATTTTTTTGGGCTGGCTGCCAAGGAGGCTCGTAATCATAAACTTACAACTGTTGAACAACCAATGCTTTACAACGTAATCCACGGAATCTTATCTCATTTGGACAAAGAAGAGGGCAATTCTGTTCATGTGGACGATCCACATGATGACTCCACTTGTCTTCAAGAGAATACATTGACACACGATACCAACAACTCAAGAGGTCATATGGGCAACACCCCAACTGATATTGGTGAGACCGTAGTCGAGGAGCTTGTCGCAGAGGCAGAACCCGAGGTCCATCTGAAATCCACCTCAGGCTCGTTAGAGGAAGTGATGTCAGAGTACGGTGGGTTTAGTTACTCATCCAAAGAGGATGGGCCAGATGGAAGACAAAAGAAAATCAAACATGTAAGTTTGCTTTTGTTCATGTATTGGTCCACCATGACTTGAGTGTAACTGATTGTCATTGTGCCATAGAATTAGATTGCAACGGTGATCTGTTCAATGCTCAGCTTTGCATGTAATCATCGTCACAATGGATTACAGCTCGAGAATTCGATCCGATTCTATGCTTGTGGGGTTTCGGAGACGGTCAATGAATACCTTCACTACTGGGGTTTAACATCTCATAGAAAAACGGCCATTCATGCCCTACAATCCTTGGCCTCAGAAGCAGCGGACACTATAGCTTCTTCGATGGCCCTGTAAAATTGTGTGGCTCCTATCATGTGTATTGACAACTTGGACATGGAAGAGCGTATTCAACTCGCATCGGTAGGAAAGCAGAATCACATGTTCCATGGTACTTGGGGATACATACACGGCGGGGCAAGTTTGAACTTCTGGATACCGCTCGCAGGACGGTTTACCTTTGGAGCGCTCTTCGGACCATAAAGAACGCCGCAATGACGATGTGGGACTGAAGCGCTTGCGTAACGCTAAATCGGTGCGACCCAGTGACTCTTGGGTCCCGAGGGCGGCAAGTTGACGGTTGCAAAGTCGTTCCCGCGTCGACTGCGTCTCGGGGACGCTCTACAACGATCATGATTTTTCTTCCCAAAAATGTGTGTAGAGGGTAGTGTGACCTCGGAACGCCTGGCTGAACAACTTTCTCTAGAAAAAAAAAAAAAAAAAAAAACTTTGCAAAAAAAAAACTGCAAAAAAAAGTTGCCACAAAATTGCTAGCGCAAACGACTGGATTGGAAGCTAGCTGTAATCTGGGCATTGAGTAAAATGATCACTGGTTATCCAACGGTGGATCATCTCCGCATGCGGTCTGGCTCGCTGATGTGGGTGTGCTTCGGCTGCCAGGTTCAGGTGCAAGTTCGAGCCTTGAGCAGGCAACTCTTTTTTTGCTTGGCCGACCACGCTGCGCCCGCTTGAGGCGGCGTCACCGGTGAGGAGTGTCCCGGTGACACACCTGCGACCTGGAAGGACGCCCTTGCAGCGCCGACCTCAGCGATCCCCTGATGCCGCGGGGTCGATCACCGGAGCGATCCTGCAAAACTGCGCCCTCACAACGCTCCCCCCTTGCTCAGTCACCGGAGCGTCCAGGACTACGCCCTACGGGGTCCTGTTGACGCTCTCCTCGCCCGGCCGTGTACATATTCCCAGTGACAACCTGATGAAAACACTCGACCCCAATCAGCTCACCTTACAATCGTACCACAACGCCTTAAAAGATGTGGATTCTCTGATCATTAACCCAGCTGATTTCCTTCCTGACGATGAAGCCCAGGATCACTATGAAAAAGTTTTCAAAAGTCAGATTGCCCGGGTAATGTACAAGTATGTGGCCCGACCGGCTGACTCAAAGCGGAAACTTCCCATGGACCCTCCGGATATAGAGCTGATAAGTCATGAGCAGCCCAAAATCCACATGATGAAGCTCATGAATGAGTCTGACAATTCAGCTGAAGGCATTGGACAGGTGATGGAGGCACTCCGCAGACAAAGCCGACTTGAACCTGGTGAATTCTTTGGCCGATTCCAGCTTATTGACGGTGACCTTGGGACTGCTCAGATCTTCAATGCTATCCGATCCCTCCGATTCCCAAGCGAACACTGCGATCACAGTCTCAACAATGTCTCATTCACTCTTGGTGCGGCCCATACATTGTGGAACATTGCCCACACGATCCTTACACATCACTTTGGGAACTCTAAGGCAATGGATGACCTGGGGGTGTGGCGATACTTACAAGCACTCGGGATCCCCCCAGAAAAAGTCATCCAGAAAAAGGATTTCACTAAGATGCTCCAGTATATGGAACAAGTCCACGAAGCGACCCTATGGTACTGTCTAAGGTATGTCATTTAGCCTGATACTGTATGGTCAATGTCACCACTAACCACACCGCCTTTTAGACATGTGATGGGTGAACATGACTCCACCATCACAGAGGATTTGCCGGTGATTCCGACATCCAATTGGAATGCAATTGTGAACCAATGTTACAATCAATTCTGCTCACATGAGGCCCGGCGTGCAGCTCAATCAAGTCCCAAGCTATACAATCTCTTCATCCGACTGCAAGACTTCTCCACCGTGATTGAGGCCAACCGATCAATGAAACGTGGTGATATTGGCCGACTAATCAATGTATGGAAGATGTGGTCAATCATGACCCAATCACTTCCAGGCCTCACTCATTACTCGGCCTACCTCCCCAGGCTCATTCTACTGATAACCAAGATCCTCCCTCCTTCATTGTCTGAGTTGATTCGGCACAGCATTCTGGTCTCGCCAAGTGGTAGACCAAATCACTTTGTGGCCAAAGACTTCCTTTTGGAAACACACAATTATTGGCTCAAATATTTCTATGTTCGCGGTGGGATCGGAACACAAATTGAAAGGCTACAAGAACTGTTCTCGTCCAACATTCCAATTGTCAGTCCCAAAATTTTGACTCATGAATCTTGCTATGATCTAATCATTCTCATTTTCAATTCTGCAGCTCCGAACAATGTTTGATTCATTACGTTTAGATAGTGGGGCCAAGCATGTCCAACAAAGTCATAAACCATTGCTCTTGTTACAAGCACTCCAGAGGTTCCACCAGATGGCCGAAAAAAATCAGATTCTTGATGGAAGGGCTCGGCCGGGGGCACTACAACCCTTAGGTATTCAGAATACATATGTCGAGGGGATTAGAATCCTACAAGAGGAGATCACTAGCAAGCCATCTGAGCTTGGCCGGTTCACCATGCACCTGCCATTTGACGAGCAGGTTCCAACTCCACCCAGCGAATCGGAAGAAAATTCCAATTCAGAAGGTGATCAGACTGATCACCTAGCTCACAGTGTGCCCATGGATGAGAAGAAACTTACGAATCAACCCCCCACCAAACTAGATCACCGACGCGATGAATACTTTGACTCCCCGCATCTCAGCATCTTCGCCTTCCAGTCGTACAAGCATAGCCATATGTGCAGCCTGTATGAGCCTTCCAAGAGTCCTCGACCTTCTTCCGCTTCTTCCGCAACTCCATCTCTATTTGGCTGCGCTCCTCTTCCTGAAGTTTTGCTAGTCTTTCTGCCTCAATCTTCGCAGCATGCTCGAGGGCCTGTTTGTCTTCCTCCTCCTGCGCCTTTGCCAAAGCTGCCTGCTTCTCGCTCTTCTCTCGTTCCATTTCTAATCTTGTATCCTCAGCCAGTGGTCCTTCTCGGAAAGCAATTACAGTTTCCAACAATCCTTCAAGCTGACCGGGGATTGTCTGGCCACCTATGAGCTTGCGCAATTGTGCTAATGTCGTGCACCCATCCAGGTTACCTATTATTGAGTCTATGTGATGTTTTTGAAACAGATCATCTGGGCCGAACAATGTTTGTTTGGTGTAAGTTTGAGCAAATAGTTGATTAAACGACTCTTGCAACTGAACCGATAAGACTTCACATTGCATCGGTGTGAGCTTGATACGTTTTCCACTTGCAGTTACATCGTCTACGTCTTGATCCACCTGTTTCCTTTTCCTCCTGCTTGTCTTTGGTACACCTGGCCAGTCCCGAGCCATTAGATCTTCGAAGTTGTCACTAGTCATCTCTCTTATGTTGTGAATTAAACCAGCGGCCATGTTAGGCTTGCAATTTGAACAGCAGCAGTCACAAAAACCCTCTTCTTGCTCGCGCTGCTTTTCTCGTAAATAGGATGGGTCGTCGGCAGACAGAGGTATGTAGCCAAGGCTGAGGGATCCATATATAAGGGTCAGTTAACCAGGTAGACATACTGGATACAATCTATTAAGTCATAAAACTCACACATTATCGATTGCAAAAGCTATCCTCAGACACACGGGTGTGATAGCCAAGGCATCCATCCGATCATTTTCGTCTATCTTCTTTGACATATCAAAAGCCGCCACTTTGTTCTTCCCCCCCCTTGCGAGTTTTTTCCACAAACATGATAGCCAACCCAGGTCGCCCATCCCGGCCAGCTCGACCAATCATCTGACATATGGCTGATGGGTCACCCCGCCCCATCTGGATCACTCGTCGAACCCGGGACCAGTTTTGACCCATACCCAAAGCCATTGTACAGGAAATCATCGGCAATTTATCCGCGGCAAAATCTTCAACTACCTTCAATTTGTCCTTCTCACCCGTGCATGAGTGGAATCGACAAACCACCAACGAATTAGGCCTCATCGAAACGCCCGGTGTCCCATGAGCCTCATCCACAACCTTCATTACCTGTAATGTTCTGTTCCTCGATGAGCTATATATCAAAGTTGGAACAATCTGCGCATCCAAGACTTCAGATTGTGGTGCAAACAAAGGTGCCAACCCTACGCAAGATGACATTGACGAAGTGATCGGAACTCGTATGATGCAGATCTCTGGCCGAGTGAGTTCCCCCCTCACAACACAAACATTATGATCTTCTAATTTCAAGCTCTTCTTGATTGATTCGATAGCAATCGGCCTGCAAGTTGCCGACATAAGTAATATTGGTTTGTTATTCCAAGTGAGCAACCGACCACCCATTTTCCCATAACAGGGCCTGAAGATTGCGATGTCTTCAATTCGGCCCAGAGCAACCGCCTTGTCCTTTCCGCTAGAAGATTCGACCAGTCCCCACTAATATATGATATGCGCCTCGTCGATCACAACTAATGCAAGGCGATTCTGAGAAGTTTGGACAGAAGT